ATCACAATAAGAATAGATAGCTTCCATATTTAATTCTTGTAAATTCCGTATAAAGGAATCGTGGTTAATGCTATTGTAATCGCGATGGTTATAGGTTTCTGGTGTAGAGTTTTTGAGTTTTTGAATTTATAGTCAATACATATTAAATCGTGGTCGCTAATACCGCCAACAGAAGACTGGTAGGTATTATTCACATTGGATGTACAATTTCGTGCAATTAAATCAATAAGAGACGGGGTGCTACCGGGTAGATGGATGGATACGGATTCTCTATTTAAAAGAGATAGTATTCATTTGATCTACCATAGTACGACATTGGGAAGACTGTTTTCATTTTGTACAGGTTTACATAAGGTGGTTTGTAAGCAATTCCACACACTAAGTTAGCCTTTGTTAACTTAACAAATAAGTTTTCGATTTCACTATTAGCTTCAGACTTGGCAAGAGCTGAGAACCGGATATTTTTCTTCAAGTAGAATGCAACGCCGCCTCCACGATTCCGTTTTGTACATTTCCGGTCGGATCGTATTATTCTATAACCCTGCAATTCAACGGATTTGTTGGAGACAGAAGATTTGAGCCATGTTTCAACTAAACCCAAAACATTCAATTTTGACTGTTCGAACAGTAGTCGATAATTGTCTACGTTAATATACATGCACGACATTTGAAAAAGGCCACAGTCAAAAAAAAATTACAAGATTCAAAGTTATTCAGATTGAATTTCAAGTTCATTATTTTTTACTCATAAAAATCGTATAATTTCAATTTGTTAGTTATGTACGAATGATCGTCATATGAAATCCTGAAATTCGAATTATCTTTTTAAAATATCACATTCGCAAAAATTGTATCCTTCCTATTTTAACTCCATCAGTCAGTATAATTTTAAAATGTTTGTAATTTGACAATTTTATTACAGACGCCAGATTTGAAGAGAAGTCTTAATTTTTGTTTTGTTTTCTGTCAATCTTGTTTTCCGTGCTGGGCACCAATGCTACCGGCACCAAGGAGGCAGCTCACACACCTCGACCCTACCTATCGACCCATCAACTCATGAACAGGAGACCAATGGCTTTACTTCCCATCCGAAGGAAGGCGTGATCACAGAACATCCCGGTGGCGCCGACTGGGATTGAACCCAGGCCAGCTGGGGTGAGAGGAAATCACCGGCGCCACTATGTCTTCATTTTGAATGGCATTTAATATTCTTTGATGACATTTTTTCTTGAAGACATTTTGAAGACATGTCTTGTTTATGTGGGAGATATCCTGAATCTGAAGAAGACTTCCGAAAGTTTTTTTTCAATTTTAAGCAGAAATTTGAAGATATCTGCTATAAAAGATTTTAATTTCATATTTTAAGCTCTTACTTGAAAATGCTTTTTTTATTATTATAATCACTTTTCAGTGTTCACTCGGCTGTCGACAAAAGCAGGCCACTCTCGATGTGTACCACGCGATCGTCTGTTTTTTCGGCAGCAACCATTGTGTGGTCCTCCTCATTGTTCTTCCTCAGCAGTTCTTTCAGTCGATGCGTCGTCGACTTTGGAAAGCAACCAATTTGTGTGTATGAGTGTTGACCACGTTTTAGGTCCATTGCTGCAATGGAAGCGCTTTGCCCCACGATGGCGTAACTGCCATACAATGAAACCACTGGAAGCGGCTCCAGTTCTGATGGAGGAGGCTTTTTGGATAGCGGAAGATAAAGTATTTATTGTGTTGTACCTTTTGACTATAGTTTTAAGATGTATTGTATAGTGACTAAGAATCTTCGGCTCTGTAAAGGTAATTCGGTTGAGCCTTATCAAATAAATTAAAAACAAAAAAAAAATCACTTTAACGCTCTTGGGTCATTCGTGACTTGTCTGTGGGTGAGATTTGAACTCGTGAGTTTAGCGTGAGAGGTATGGATTCAAACCATTACGCCAGGGTCGCCCCCACTTGAAAATGTAGATTATGAATAATGCAACCAAAACCTTTTCTATTTCAGAACAATATTTGATCGATCTGAATATCCACAGGATTTTACTGAAATCTTCGATAAACTTGAAATCTTTTAAATACTTCCTTAAAGATGTTCCTTTTTGAGAAAATATCTAAGGGTCGTCATTTGAAATCATTACGGGATGTAGATCTACCACTGATTCCTAGTCCCAACTACTTCAAACTAGAGGAACAGGATTTTTCAGTAATGAAAAAACACATCTTAGTCCTTGTTACTTTTTATGTCTTGTTGATAGTGGGTTTCCTAGATCGAGGATGATCTTGAAACAAAGAAAAAATTAGTTAGTTAGTCTTCATCTATGTGGTTCTTAATCTTCTATTTGTTGTTCTCTAGTTTGAAGTGCTTAAGACTAGGGTAATTCTGTTGCTAAGTAATTCAATTTTGATACACGCCTTTGGAGGGTATTCCAACACTCCGAAGGGTATACATAGCGGGACCTTTCAATTAGAATCGATTGCTTGCGATAAATGGAAGAATGACAACTTCATCGAACGAATACTTCATCGTTTCTCAATAGTGATGGAGTAATACGACATGCACTAAACTAAGGACACGGGATATACTACAATAGATCAAATTACTGGTCGCAGTGGTGTTAGGAGGAAAAAAACCTGAAGCCATGAAATATATCCAGAGAGCTGTTTTGAAATCTTCTAACAGCTGGAGATCTTTTAAAGACTTCATGATCAACCTGTCATCTAGGAAGAATATCTGAAAAACAACATTTGAAAACCGGAACAGTAGCAGATCTTTAGAATAATACTTGGTCAACCCAAAGTTTAGAAAAATATCCATATGAAATTTTTGATATATTATTGGAAATCCATGAAGAGAGAGATTATTTATTTTTTTTTAATTTTCTGAACTCCTACGAAGGTTCTTGTACATCCCCATCTCCACTCTTGAACTTGAACTCAGTTCCACGAACTCAATCGAAGCTCCTTGATTTTTTTTTTGAGCTTGTTTTTCCTTGATTTGTTTTCCGTCGATCCTGTTTTCCGTACTGAGTACCAATACAACCGACGCCAGGGAGGAAGCTTCCACACCTGGACCCCACCACCTACCAACTCATGAATAGGACACAAAAATTATGGTTACTATGTCACACTGCAAAATACAGTGTTGCCTACAGAGCAGCTGCTTGATCATGTCATAAGTTTACCAACCTCTTAAATAATTAATAACTTTGTCCTGTCTCGTTTTACATAGAAACGATATTCAGCAAAGTTGTAGCTGAGAAAATTGTTTATAAGAATGGCTATCGAACTGATTCGTAGCTCAATATGGAAAAAGACTAGAAGGCAATGAACACAAAGTTGAGATTTCCCATAGTAATTTACATGTAAACTTCAAATGGCTTGTGCGAAGTCTGTTTCTAACCAAATGAGTTGTAACTTTGGGAGGCTAATCAGGACCCGATTTGAAACCATTTAAGCACTGTGGAGCGAAAAAGTCAAATTTTGCATCAGTCTAGTGTGGAAGCTGCCTTCCTGGCGTCGTAGCATTGCACAGTGGTCCAGAATGCATATTTAGGTGGAAGGATATGATTTGAGACTGAAATTGAAACTTTAGACTAAAAGTATTTTCTACAAAGTTGTTCTTTATAGTTAGGTCCTCATTTTTATGACAATGAACTCTAGGGGGTTCTAATTATAAATAAAATTAAAAAATCTACGGTTTTTGTTTGAAGAAATTATGGTATACATTTTTCGGCAAAGTTATAGCAGATTAAAAGCTATTTTTTAAATCCTTTAATTTGAGGACCACCTTGACGTTTGCAAACACCAAAATAAGGGAATTTTTCTTAGGCATACAATCTCTGATCAGGGAAGTAAAGCCATTGGTCCCCGGTCCATTTTTTTTATTGAAAATTTAGACTTTTTTTTACAATATCAAAAATTCAGCGATGTTCGATTTTTTGCTTCTGAGCAACAGTTTTTTCAAAAAGATTATCCGATTGTCATGAAATAAGGTGATATACAATATACAATGATATTTAACGATTTTACGACAAAACAAGTACCTGCCCATTTTGCCCCAAGCTGAGGCTGTAGCAGTTCCTAGCTCAAACAACGAGAGCGCTTGGCTTCAAGTGCATGCTTCACCTCTGGCGGCAGCAACGGTGCTGCAAAAACAGTGAACTGTCACTTTTATTTGATTTTTATTTCCAGCTTTAGATCGGATGTGTCGCTTTTTCTTCTCGAAGTGGGATAAGAGCAGCGGCTGTTCTCTCGAGCGTGTGTAGTCAATCGGCGAAGGGTGGTTAATTTTGATCATGAAACGCGACAACCCATTTCAACTAGAAATTCGTTGCCCCAATCCATTCATTTTGTACGGAAAACAACTAAATACTAAACAGGACAATCTTCTGACGTTGATAAACAAGGATTCAACCCTCGCAGAGCTACAATTTACGGTTGTAAGACGTTTGCTTCGAAATTGATGGACTGCCGTCGACGCCACATTGATCGACCTGACGGGAATTGACTAAAGCCATCGCCGCCATCATCATCGTCGTCGCAGTCCGTCGTCGGGCGTCGTCATAGAACATGCTTCGGGCATCGACGTTCCAACGACAACTTGAGTGCACCACTCTCGCTCGCTTTCGTGTGCAGTGTAGTGTTTTGAAGAGCGCAAAGTGAAAAAGAATGGTCCCACATCACCCGAAAACATCAACACAAAGCACACAGTCATGAATAGGGAAAACGGTATTTTTTTTTCTCCTCCACGTCTGCCTCGATGTGACCTCGAGATCTCAAACGACGACGACGATGGACGACATGAGCGACCTCGCTCTTTCTGGTCAATTAAATCTACTGAAAGCGTGTTGCCGTTGGTGCCATGTCGATTGATTTTTTCCCGAAACGGACCGAGATCACCAGCCATTTGTGGTACTGTAATCGAAAGTGATTTTTCCATCCCTTATTCCGAAAAAAAAGCTGGGATTGGTGGGAGGCGAAATCAATTAAAAACTGCCATTCAGCACACTTACCTTTACTCAGACCGGACGTCTTGTCGCGCAGCACGTTGATCTGATGCACCCGGCCAAACTCCTCGAACATATCCTTCAGTTGCTGTTCGTCCATCGAGCGTGGCACCTGCCCGACGAACATCTTGATATAGTCCGGATCGGGTTGGTCCCGGACGGTTTCATCGTCCTCCTCGCAGCCGCCAATGACGACACCGTAGCCGGGCGAGGACTTTAGGGGCGACGGTATCAGCTGAAGCCCGCCGCCAGGGCTACCCGTACTGCCGAGGACGTTAACGCTACTACTACTACTGCTATGGCTACTGATGATGTTCGGGTTGTTCTGGTTTATCACATTGGGGTTGTTGTTGTTCAGCGTGGTATGATTGTTATTGTTGGTGCTGCCGTTGCTGTTGCAGTTATTGTTTCCGGCGGGATTGAGGTTGTTGTTGTTGGCGGTGCTGTTGTTGTTGTTATTGTTCATATTCATGAGGGCGCTGCAATGAGATAAAGTAGAGAGAGAGGATCGTGAGATAAAAGCAGATCTTGGATGTACAATTTGCAATATTCCCCAGCTAATCCGACAAAAGACTTGCTCGACGAAAGTATTTACAACTGAAATTAAAAAAAGTTGTCCCTTCAATATTTTTAAAATATTTTTAATTAAATAGATTATAACAAATGCTACCTTCTGTGAAAATTTCAAGTTGGACACTTGAAGAGTAGCAAAAATATCCTTCAATAACAACTTTTAGATTTTTTTTGAACTTTTTGCTTAAACAATATTTTTGTGAAATTTTGACTGAAAACGATTTCGAAAGCCTAAAAAATGGACAAATATTTTAAAAAAACATCGAAGTGGTATACTTAAATTTCAAGCACATTTATGGATTTTTTACCCCAAAGAACCGATTTTTTATAAATATCATGCAATGCCATTCGACGAGGAATTATTCCAGCATTTTTTTTTAAATATTTATAAATAGTTAAACATCTAAGAAATTTAACGAAAATTGGAAGCATCAAAATAACCCATACATTCAGGGTTGCCACATACCCGAGTAGCACACTTTTATCTTGCAGCAACCTGTTTTTGGCGGAAATAAGTCGTATAGAGATTTCAAAAATCTATTTGCGACAAGCGCGCTACAAGGGTATGCAGTATGTATGGGTCATTCTGCACAGCAAAAAAACAATCTGAATTATAAATGTGATGTAAACATTCATTCACGTAAACTTGAATTTCATTTCACGCAAACGAGCAATTTGTAAGCAATGTTGTTTACAAATATGGGCTTTTGCATACAATATTTGCAACATTTCATGAAATGTCTCAGAACTTTACAAGATTTATAATGTAAATTTAGATGAGATGAAACGCTCCTTTTATGTGCATCATATTGAACAGAAATTTACGCTACTTTTTCGAACTGTGTGTATTTTACAGATCTTCTGAATCATTTCAGGATCAACAATCTATATATGGGTCATTCCATCTCAAGTGACCGAGTAAATTTGCAACAGAGATTCAAAATGTCAACGATGATGTAGAAACTACCGCAATCATCGAATCATCGTTTTCAACTCTTAACACTACGCTGGAATCGTTGTTTAGTCACCAATTACCAAAACCAAGGTGAAACGTTCGAAGAAGTATCCCGTAGAGAAGTATTCCAAAGCTACAAATCTTTAAAAACTTCATTTGATGCAGTTCTCAGCAAAGAATGCATTTCTCAAGAAACAAATTGCGGAAGCAGACAATATGCAGCAGCTGGAGATGAGATGATAAGGCTGCTAACAGAAAAGATTCGAATTTGTGAGAAAGCAACCGATAACATTCTGATTTTTTCAGTACTACAAAAATCGTGGAGTTTGCGCAAAAATCAAAGTAAGTTGTATTGATCTAAAGAGAAAAAAATGAAACTGACCATTTGTGATTGATAATCCACTGACGAGTTTGAGTGCTCCGAGCGATTAGTGCGGAACATGAAAAAATGCGTTGAGGGGAAAGGCGTTCCCCCAATCCCAGAAAAGGTAATAAGGGCTGCTGAAACACATACAGTTCGCGTCTGCGTGATTCACCAAAATTTTAAGCTTACATTTTTGGGTGCTAAGTTTTTCCAAATTGAAGTGGAAGTAGGAGGTTTAATAGCGTTCAATTCGTACAGAGACGTGCTGAAGCAGAACCTTTGTGATCCACCTACTGAGGCGCGATATTCGAATAGTTGTTCCAACACACCTTGTGGTGATTTAGATTCGATTAGGAGCTTGATTTGGTCATATTTCGATGACAACTTCATCGAGGAAATTACGTACAAGCAATGGACGCAGCAAGATCGGTTCCAATTAGCAAGCAACTCAGCTTGTCATAAACTGGTTTACATAACTTATATATGACAATCTCAGCTGTGAAAATGTAGGTCTACATGAATAGAACTAAAATATAGCTGTTATAACATGTTATAAATACGTAACATTCAACATGTATTCATGTTTGCTCATGGTCCTAAAACTGACATATGAAAAACATGTTGTATATTAGGCTAGCAAGTTTACACCAAATACAATTAGTTATAAATGTGTTATAAACAGGTAATTGAGTCATGCAACACCAAATTATAACTTCAAGATGACAAGTGCCTATCAGAAAGGTTGAATACTTCACAAACAACAATACACCGGGTTTAATACAAGATGTTTTCCCAGCAATCAATATATAACTTATTTACAACTGGGATTTGTTACATTTTTCATAAACGATGTTGCAAGCTTAGAAACGAAGGTTAGTGATGCTGAAACTTTTTTTGAAACATTTATAGAAGCAGTGCCAGATGTTCGAAAACACGACTACATAGCAACAAGGCAAGCAGAGTTCTATAAGTTGACTCGGGACAACTTGCACGAAGGAAAAGCTCTTGTTGTGGCTGACTTTTCCGAAAATTATTCGTTTGTGTTCCAGGACAGCGTACAAGGGGTTCGCTATAATAACCTGCAGGCAACCGTCTACCCATTAGTCGCCTATTTTTTGGAACAAGAAAAGGTTGTTCCTTTAAACTGTATCATGATCTCCGATGTCCTTGAGCATAGCACAGCTATCTTCTACGCTTTCCAGAGGCAGTTTGTAGAGTTTCTGAAATCTCGGCTACCAAAATTAACAAAAATTATATGAAGAGCTTTGAGTGTGTTGGTTTATTTCCTTTTAATTCCGTTATAATTGCTTATCTTTTGGCAGATACACGTCTTCTAATTGCAGACTTCATCAGTGCCAAGTACTCAACACCATTTGGCACTGATGAAGTCTGCAAGTCGTAGACGAAATACGCGTATCTGTCAAAAGATAAGCAATTATAACGGAATTTAAAGGAAATAAACCAACACACTCAAAGCTCTTCGTAAAGGGATTCCGTTAAGGGGTTCGACAAATTTAAAAATTAAAACTTATATACTTTTCTGACGGTCCTGGTTCACAGTGTAAAAACCGATTCAATTTGATAAACTTGCTCTTCCATGAAGAAGACTTCGGGATTCCAGCTGAGTAGCACTATTTTGCACACGGTAAAGGCCCAAGCGACGGATAAGGTGGTACCTTGAAAAGGTTGGCGACAAGAGCCGCACAACTATGCAAACGTCAAAAGAGTTGCACGAATGGATACTAGACTGATGCAAGATTTGACTTTTTCGCTCCACAGTGCTTAAATGGCTTCAAATCGGGTCCTGATTAGCCTCCCAAAGTTACAACTCATTTGGTTAGAAACAGACTTCGCACAAGCCATTTGAAGTTTACATGTAAATTACTATGGGAAATCACAACTTTTTGTTCATTGCCTTCTAGTCTTTTTCCATATTGAGCTGCGAAACAGTTCGATAGCCATTCTCATAGAAAATTTTCTCAGCTACAACTTTACTCAAGATCGTTTCTATGTAAAACGAGACAGGAAAAAGTTATTAATTATTTAAGATATTGGTAAACTTATGACATGATCAAGCAGCTGCTCTGTAGGCAACACTGTATTTTGTAGCGTGACATAGTAGCCATGATTTTTGTGTCCTATTCAACGCCCCAGAAACACCAAAGCTGAGCAGTTGATTGAGCATGATCATAAGACATTAGCGCATTGAACCATTGATAACTCGATCCTTGCATTTAATGAAAAAGTGGTCTTCAGCAAAGTTGTAGCTGGGAAAATTTCCTAAAAGTACAGTTGAAAGTTTTTGAAGCAGACCGATATGGTGAATTATTAGATAGACATGAACAAAAATCTTGGTTTTACCATAGTAATTCCCATACAAACTTCAAATGGTTTGTGCCATCTCAGTCTCTCACCAAATGGGTTCAAATTTTGAGAGGTTAGTCAGGATCCGATTTGGAATCGTTTAAGTATTGTGGAGCGAAAATTTCAAAATTTGCATCACTCTAATGGATACTTTCAAATTGTAACCTGAATGTCCAATTTATAACATCAGAGCACTATAGTGAAGAAAAGAAGGCTTTAGAAACCAGATTAAGTTTGGCACGATCCATTCCTGCAATTCGCGGGATACATTCAGCAACTCCTATAACCGACGGAACGGTTTTTATGAAAATGGCTTCGTTTTCAGTAACGGGTTCAAATTATAAAGTTATTTCAAAGCCTAGCCAAAATTCATCACGTAAGCCGAAGACAAATCGAAGAAAGAAATAAACGTATCCTGGATCACGAAAGGTGCACTCCGCTTCCCGCACGTGCAGATGGCTTGCCAAACCAGGAATTTCTTCGCAAATTTGGACATCTTCTGAGTGCGGACATGCTCCGGAACGCTGAACTTATCCTTGGCCGTGAAAAACAGGTTGCCGGGGATCTGTTTGAAGTCGGCCTTCACATATGTTTCGTCGTCCATGATGCAGCATTCAACTTTCGTCAGCATGTTGAGGTACAACTTCCTGGCACGGGTTTTGGCGGACTTGTTCTGCTTCTCGTCGCGATTAGGGGCCTTTTATACCTTGAACGTTCGAAGCCCAGCCTTAGTTTTGGCCTTCTGGACAAAACTTCGGCTTATGTGCAGCTTCTTAGCCACATCCCTAACGGAGGCGTTCGGATTTCGGTTGAAGGCCCCAACTACGCGGTTGTGATTTTTGGTGTTGCACGGAATACTTTTTCCTTTACTTCTGGGCTTCCGATCGGTGGTCAACCGTTCCTCGAACCGCTTAATCACTCGCGAAACCGTGGAATTCGCGATTCCCAACGTTTTAGCGATGGAACGATGCGAGAGATCCTTGTTATCGTGATGAATGCGCAAGATTTTATCACGCACGAGCTGTTCTTTCGACTCCATTTCCGCGAGTTTTGATCACAGGACTTTAAAACTTGCAGGATGTAAATAATGCACTATGAACTAAATCCACCCAAATTTTCATTAAATTCTACCCAACGGTTAAAAAGTTAGAGCAATTTCATAGTGTGGCAATTTCATCGTGGACATACACCATGTGTATGCATGGTGCCCATCAATAAATGAT